TATATTTTCGTCCGATTTAATAGAAATGTTGCACCAAAGTTCCTATATATCTTTCGATTTGCACGAAATTTAAAACCACAATGATGTGTGCTAAAATCATTTCGGATTTCTATATAGCTCCCAAATATATTTTCTTCCGATCAAGGCCTATATAAGGTCGCCAGTAAGCGAATTCATAGGAAAAACTTAAGTTTAACGTCATTTTTTTTTTTTGCCGAGGCGAAAACTAATTGTTTCGCCTTTAAATGAAAAACACAGCCAAACACAACACACAATCTATAATTTAGGATTATTTACTTGAAAATCTTCTTTAAACTCTTAAAATACTCCAAATGTTCCGTAAAAAGACGATATAAATTAAAATTGAATTGAATGTCGACTAAATATTAATATTTTCGTTTTGACGTCTAACATAATTTTGTATGTATGTATAGGTTTCAAAATATGATTTGACAAAAAACTTTATAGTCACCTGTGCTTACTGGCCGACCATGTATAGGCCTTGCTTCCGATTTTCTGTAAATCGTGCACCAAAGTCCCTATATGTCTTTCGATTTGCATTGTGCTAAGTTTCGTGAAAATCGGTTCAGATTTAGATATAGCTCCCATATATTTTTTTTGTCCGATTTTATGTACTTGCCTTACTGACTTTTAAGTAAAAACAATTGAAAATTGTCATTCGACAACACCGACAGATAGGGGAGGATCCTTTGTTGAGGAGGTATGGAACCAGTAAACCACTACCCTCATTCTCGGGGTCAAAATTTTTTTTGATATAATTCGAATCTACACTGATTAAAGAATGTCTCTACAAAATTTCAAGTGAAAATCTGAAGAACTCTTGAAGATATAGCCGATTTATTGTGTCAGCATCAAGTGACGGCTGAAGGGCTTCTCAAATTTTAAACGCGTTTTTCTCTAAACATTTTTTTGCGAATGGCGGGCACGATAACTCAAAAACTAATAATCCAATCGGTTCTAAATTTTGCAACGTTTCTCTGGGAGTGTATAGCTCTCGTATGAACTAGGATAAAGCCAATCGGTGAAGATCTTCCTTATTTTTTAACTTGGTTTTTGGTAAAAAATCGGCGATTTTCCAAAAATATTTTTTCAAAGGCCCGCCATTTTGTTAATTTTAGAGCGAAGTCAATAATCCTAGTTCATACGAGAGCCAGACATGTACTCTTTCTAACACCGTTGGAATTTTCGGATTCCGATGTTCCAGTGAGGAGTTATCATGCCCGTCAACAAAAATAAGGACTTTTCTTTAATTACAAAAAACAACAACAAAACAACAACAAAATTTTTTGTAAATTATTTTTCTTCTCTTTTAAATCTTCAATTATATATTTGCAAAGTTACAAACCTTAACAAGCATTTGTATTCATTTACCAGCCCATTGAAAATCTTGAAAAATTAAAATCAAGAATGGGGGTGTTCCCTTAAGTTTGATATTTAAGTTTGAAAAAAAATAATAATAATTACGATGTGCAATGATTGAATGGAATCGGTTACTCTCTTCGAGCGTTGTCATACGTTCCTACCAGCCAGATGTAAAAATTATATTTCGATAAGGTACATTTTTGTCATAGCAAAGTATGAATACGCTAGGCTGGTGGAGCAATAAAGTCAGACGTGGCTGATCATATGAAACCCTTAACAAATAACCCGAAACATGAACTATCTGCAAAACTAAATCTGGGTCCATTTGACACCCCAAATATTGGCCGATTATCTGACCGACCCGTGTAAAATATGGTGATGTTCTCCGTCCCAAAATACTTGGGTAGTCAATATTTGTATTATTTTTTACTGTGTTGAATTCAAATCAATTAACCATAATGTATAAATTATACACTTTCTGCAAACTGCATTCTAAGTTTTTTTTTCGAGAGAATTTATTAATTTTATTTATTAATAACAAAAAAAAACAGCGAAATAACCTTGATAGCCTATGTTACAAATAAGGTATGTATGTCACAGACATACAAACACACAAAATCGAAAGAACTAAAAATAATTGTTGATTCGATTGGCCAAATATTAGAATGGTTTGGACAACGAACTGTACATTCAACACACTAAACTTCACTACAATACGCATTTATTTGCCACACAAGAATTTCTGCTGTAGAACGTTTGGTTAGAATGACATTTTTGTTTAAAATTTATTTTGGTGTAATTAAAATTAAATGAAAAACAAATAAAAAATACATTTGACAGCCATTTAATAAATGGTTACTGGGATTTACATCAATTTTTAATAATTAACAATTATCGCGAAACACAACATTTAATTTTGGGGAAAAAATATTTTTGGGAATTTTTAATTTATTACTGGAATGAGAAACAAAAAAATAATAAATCAAAACTTAAAAAAATTGATAATTTTTTTTTTACATTTGTTAATTTGTTGAATGACAGAACACACAACACTTTCAGATAATTTAAACAAAAAAAATGGCTAATAATAAATCTTATTATTGATTTATTACAAACGAAAAAAAAATGAAAATATATTTTTGGAATTTCGGGAATACAAATTCACACATCATAATGTAATTAGCTTTTTAATTAGTGTGACATGGAAAATTGATTGAAAATTTGAACTGTCGAACTTGTAAGAAGTCATGTTCTTTGGGTGGAGTTACAAATTGTTGATAATTATTTTTCTTAAAGAACTTTCAAAAATGTCAACCTTGCTGGGTGGGTGAATGCTCGATTTAGAAAAATGTGTGATAATTAACAGTAATCAAATTTTAATATCCTGCTTTATTCTGTTTCCAGATATTTGTTATTCGAAATGAAAATTAATGAAATATTAATGCGAATTTTTTAACAAGGTATTTTCAGGGGTTACTATAGGCATGGCTTGTTAAAAAATAATAAGAAAGCTTGGATTTATGAATGACAATTTTTTTCAATAGCTATTATTGGGTACTTTTTTAAAGAGAAATTTTAAAGGCTTGTTTTAGAAAATAAACTTTTAAGGGTTATAATAGAGGAGGATTGTTTTTAACAAATATTTTTTCAAGACCTACTCTTTGTTTGGATTCTTTGAATGTATATTTTTAAGAGAAAATCGGTTTAGATTTAGTTATAGCTGTCATATATAGTTTCGTCCGATTTTATGTTAATGGAGCACCATATTGGCTATATTGGTCCAATTGAGACACATTTTTGCACCGAGTACTGACGTAGGTCCAGATTGAAGTATGTCAAGTTTTTCGGTTCAAAATTAGATATAGCTCCAAAATATAGTTTCGTCCGATTGAGACAAAATTTTGCACAGATTACGGAATTAGGTCTAGATTGATATATGCAAAGTTTGGTTGAGATAAATGGTATAGCTCCCATATATACTATTATAGGATATTGCACCAAACTCCCAATATTGATCCGATTGGGACAAAATTTTGCAGAGAATACTGAATTAGGTATAGATTGATATATGTCAAGTTTTGTTGAAATCGGTTCAGATTTGAATATAGTTCCCATATATATTTTCGTCTGATTTTATGTAAATGGAGCACCATAATGTCAATGTTTTTCCGATTGAGACATTCGTGAAGTTTTGTTGAAATAAGTTCAGATGCAGATATGGTGCGCCGAGAAGTCTATGTTTGTTCTATATTCGCGAAATTTTGCGGCCTGAATGGAATTTAGTCTAGAATGCTTTGGTTAAGTTTGAAATCGGTTGAGATTTAAATGTAGCTCACATATATACCTTAGTCCCATTTTATGCAAAGGTTTTTCAGCTTACATATAAATTTTCATCCGATTTCATCAAAATGATGTACCAAATAATTAAAGTTTGTCCGCTTCGAATTTTGTGTAGAGATAAATTTTGGATAGAGCACTGTGTTGTAGCATACCAAATGGCGGATGCCACGTTTGCTCAAATACGTCCATTTATATATAGATCTTATACATATTTTGCTCGATGATTGACATTCAATTTTCTATAAATTTCAGATTGGTAGGTGTATGGGTTGTTTTAATTTAGTTCAAATATCTATAACATCATGCAGTTAATTTCCTCCGATTCCAAAGATGCTATGTCTAAAAAATATTGTACATGAGAGCATCTCTTATATGCACCCAAAATGGTGAAGGGTATCATATAGTCGGCCCCGTCCGAATATGAACTTTCCTTACTGTTTTTTTTAATACATGCCTTTATAGAGGCCCAAAACTTATTTTTGTAAAAAATTTCAAGCCTTAATATTGGCCTGTAAAAAAATAAAAATTCAATCCTAAATAAAGTATCTAAAAATATTTTACTATAAGAATTCACTCTTTTATAAAACCTTTAAAAATATTTTTTATTTAAAACCAGCCCTTAACAAAGTCTTCAAAAATATTTTTTAATAAAAAATCGCCCTTTAATGGGACCTATATATTTTTTTTTATAAAATTCAACGCCTTAATGATACCTATAATCCAAACCTTATTGAAGCCTCTAAAAATATTTATTTATAAAAAATTACCCCTTCAAAAACCTTAAAACTTACAAAAAAATATTTTTAAGGCAATAAACGCCTCAATAGAGCTTCTACAAATATTTTTATAAAAATCTAATTTAATTATAAAAATGTATAATAATAAAAATTGATTATAAAATTCATTATAAATCTCATTTTAGGCCATACCCGATGAATCCTTAGCCCTGGTCGTAATGAGAGAATTTCTCCGCACATTTTTTGTGCAAACCTATTTAAATATTATGCACCACATTTTGTTACTACAAGTCGTTGCAAAAATAGGTTCAACTAACTTTTCGATATATATAAAAATTAATTTGTTTTAATAATAAAAATAAAAAGATCGTAGAAAATTTGTAAGAGGCTTAGGCGTAGACAAGTTAAATTTCAATATCGCGTGAGAAACGCGGCTAACATTTATTTTGGATTTTTGTTTACAATTATGCAATGGTGTACAGAGAGGGGATGTAACCCCTTACTCTCACATAAAATATAATTATGAAATTTGCAACTTACCGCCCACACCGTCAATAGCCAATAATTCAAATACATTTTGAAGGCAAGGGAAATCTGGATTTTGCAGCAACTATTAATAAATTTACAAATTTTGTAACGAATTATTTTTTTCTTCTACTTTACAAAAATTCACTGCACTTTATTTTTGGCAATTTGTTGTTTTATTTTAATTTTGTCGAATATTTTTCCTTAATTTTGTTTCTTCTTTTTTAATTCAGGAAATTTAGTTTTCTGTTATTTTTTGCTTGGTCAATAGAGGGAAATATTTCTTGTTATTTTGTTTTTGTGATTTGCTCCAGTAATAAATTTGAATTGGATGAGGGCCCAAACACTTCCGTTACAAATTGTTGTTGCACCACAAGAAAACACCAAATAAAAACACAATTTATTTTAACTGCAGTTTTGTTACAACAACAACTAACACGATTTGTGACAAATCATTTGAACGCTCTCTGTTGGGATTCTTGTTTTTTATTTTTATTTTAAGTAAATTTTCAAAAAAATGTTTGTTGCATTTTCAAATTTACGATTGCATTTACACACGATTGCCGAACTATTTATTTTGTCTTCATGATTTTGTTGTAATTGCTGACAGCGTTAAATGTTTTCTCGTTGTTGTTTGTAAATTTATTTTGTGGAGCACGTTTAATTTTTTATTACAACGGGCAGCGAATCGAAATGTTAACCGCAAACGCACAGGGCTACAACCAAACATTCCAGCCTATGTTACAATGGAAATTACAACAACATCATCGTCCACAACAAACACCGAAAATTGTAACGAAATCTCCAACAACTCCAAATAAAAAAAACGAAACAATAACAACAACACAAATGTTGTACAGTGGCAATATTTGGTGGCAGCAACTGTCTCAACATAGCAAAACGTCAGCCAAATTTCTTGTTGTTGTTTTTGTTGTTTTATTTTTTTATTGACTTGAGTGGGGGCAGTATTTATTGTTGTTTGATTTTTATTTTGTTTGAAAATCTGCTCGTTACGTTTTTTTCCGCCTGTAAACCGTTTCGAAATCCGCCTCAGACACCAACAAAAAATCGCTTCAAATCGCGCACACGTCTGTTACTGTTGCTGGCTAAATCGCCACTAAATCCACAGCGCATTGAGAGTCGCAGTTTAAACTTGAAAAGCCGAAAACAAAAACACGCCGAGAGAAACGAAAACAATCGGCGTTTGTCTGAATAGGCAAAACAACAAACGATGTTTTTTGCTGCTGTTGTTGGCATTGTGAGGCAGCAGCAACAGCAATGAAACAAAGCTGTAGCTGATGTTTGGCATCAGCAACAGGCAAAAATGTTGCTGGTTGTGTGATATATAGAAGTCAAGCCTTAATAGCAACTGAAAAATATTCTTTAAAAATCCACGCTCGTGAAAAAATATTCTTTAAAAAATCTACGTCTTAATAGGCTTTAAAAATCCACGCTCGTGAAAAAATATATATAATATAGCCCTTGAAAAAAATATTCTTTATAAAATCCACGCCTTAATAGCCCCTGAAAAAATATACTTTAAAAAATCCACGCCCTTGAAAAAACTTACTTATTTTACTTAGCTGGCTTGTTACAGAAGGGCCGAGCTTAAAAAGATTTCCAAGCGCGTTGTCCAATTTGAAAGACCACTTTACAAGTTTTTTTTTCGGCATGGTCTTTCCATCTTGTTCGTGGTCTTCCCCTTCTACGGGAACCATCAGTAGGCTCTCTTTTATAATCCTTTTGAGCTGGGGCATTCTCATTCATTCACAGAACATGGCCTAGCCACCGTTGTCGCTGCAGCTCTATATGTCTGACTATGTATGTAAAGCTCGTGGTTCATTCGATGTCGATATTCACCGCGACGCAAATCGGCCCGTAGATCTTTCGGAGAATTTTTCTTTCAAACACCCCAAGAGCTGCCTCATTTGCTTGCGGAAGTACCCATGCTTCAGATCCGTATAACAGCACGGGTAGTATCAGCGTAGTAGTAAAGTGTGAGTTTGGTCTGGCGGGAGGTGGCCTTGCTTCTACTTAGACCATAGTATGATCTGTTGGCCATCACAATCCTTCTCCGAATTTCAAAATTGATGTCATTCGTTTTATTTCTAGCGGTACCAAGGTATATAAAATCTTTAACTACATCGAAGCTGTAGTTCCACAAGTTCCACAGTTGGTCCGAGTCTAGTGGACGTCTTGCGCTTTGATACCATCAGCTTGGTCTTCGCGCCGTTTACTGCCAGACCCACTTTGGCAGACTCCTTCTCAATTTCTTCAAAGGTGACTGTTACCGCTCGCAATGTTCGACCCATTATATCGATGTCATCGGCGTAGGCGAGTAACATGTGCTGTTTGGTGTACAGAGTGCCATTTCTGTTCACCTTTGCGTCTCGTACGACCTTTTCCAGCAAAATGTTAAAAAGATCACATGACAAACTGTCACTCGTTCGGTATTGAAGGGCTCCGATAGGTCCTTTCCGACATTAACTGCTGACATTGTGCCACTTAAAGTTATCCTGCTTAGCCGTATTAACTTTGCAGGAATGCCGAACGCAGACATGGCTTTAAACCCCTCTGAACTGATAGGGCTGTCGAATGCGGCTTTATAGTCGACGAATAGGTGGAATGTGTCGATGTGTTTTTCGTGGGTCTTTTCTAGGATTTGGCGACCTTTTCCAGCAATATGTTAAAAAGATCACACGACAATCTGTCACCTTGTCTGAATCCTCGTTCGGTATTGAAGGGATCCGATAGGTCCTTTCCGACTTTAACTGCTGACCTTGTGCCACTTAAAGTTATCCTGCTTTCGCCGTATTAATTTTGCAGGAATGTCGAATGCAGACATGGCTTTAAACACCTCTGAACGGATAGGGCTGTCGAATGCGGCTTTATAGTCGACGAATAGGTGGAATGTGTCGATGTGTTTTCGTGGGTCTTTTCTAGGATTTGACGCAGAATGAAAATCTGGTCAATGGTAGATTTGCCAGGTCTGAAGCCGCATTGGAATGGTCCAACAATGTCATTGACCATTGGCTTCAATCGTTCACACAGCACACTGGATAGCACTTTATATGCGATGGGAAGAAGGCTAATTCCTCTATAGTTGGCACATATTGTCTTGTCTCCTGTTTTGTGCACGGGACACAGAATGCTGAGGTTCCAATCATTGAGCATGCATTCCTCTAGCGAAATTGTACTAATCAGCTGGTGCCAGCAACGTACAAAGGATTTCATTTGGGGGGGGGGGGGGGGTCCCGCTAGTACAAAATGAAAAAAATTAGCCGTTGCAAACATAAATTTACTGTGAAAAAAATTCATTTCGGGCCGCCCCCCTGCGTACTTCCATGGCTAGTGCATGCTCCTGACCAGCATCTGACCACCAGTCTTGAATAGTTCGGCTGGTAGCCCATCAGCTCCTGCTGCTTTATTGTTCTTCAGCCGATTAATTGCTATTCTGACCTCACCTTGGCTAGGTGGCATACATTCTATACCGTCATCTCTTATTGGTTCTGGGGTATCTTCTTCACCGCCACTATTTGACACCAGAAGCTTTTGAAAATACTCCTTCAAGATCCTCAACACGCTGCCCGTATCTGTCACCAGGTTTCCTTCTTCATCTCTAAAAAACCCTTCGGTTTCGGTTTCCGGACTTCATTCTGACTCCTGCATATCTCGATTTGCTCACGCCCACGTTTTTCTTGTTCTTTCTGAAACCACGTTTCTCCTCTCTCCTTTTCTCCCGATAATTCTCCATCACGTTAAGTGTTTCTACTGTCTGCAGGGTTGCCCTATACGCTGCGTTTTTGCAAATCAGTAGCATTACGACACTCCTGATCGTACCATGGATTTCTTGGTGGTGGTTTTTGGTACCCAAGTGTTGCGTTTGCTGCAGTATGTAGGGAGTGGGCAATTCTTTGTCATTGTGCTTCTATACTATTATCGGGACAAGAAGTGTTTTCGCCAAGCAGGAGAGTATGTTGAGCGGAGTAGGCCTCGGCTACTTGTTGTGTTTGCAGCTTTTCGACGTCGAGTTTCCGTGTTGTATTAGTTCGCACCTTTGCTGCAACATTACGACGAGTGCAAACCTTGGCTGCTACAAGGTAGTGGTCCGAATCAATATTCGCTCCTCGGATAAAATTCCTTTTAAAATTGTATCTGAAAAAAATACTTCTAAAAAAATCCACCCTTTAAAATTACGTTTTTTTCAAAATAGTTCGCTTATAAAACCCTTTTAAAATATAAATATATATATTTTTTTAAAAGGTAATGCCTCTATTTCACTTTTCAATTTCGTTTTCATTTGAGCGCTTTCTGGAGATAAAAATCGAAATTTAACCCACATTTAATGCTAATTATAATGGAAAGTGCCATAAAAATCGCTGTAACTCCATTTAATGATGAGTTGATGAGTGGCGTGTAATTGGAGTATTTACAACAATTACGTTTAATTGCCAACAAACGTTAAACTCTCAACGCTCAATGAGTGCTGAAGAGGTGGCAGAAGAAGGTCATAAAGTTGGCTTCTTTTATGACGTAGCATTGGAATAGAATTTGTAATGATTGTAGATCATTTTATAATAGGTGATTTCAATGTTAAAAATTGGGACCACGAAGCCATGAAATGATTCAATGATTTTTTGTCAGAAATCGTGACTACCGGGTAACCCTGTAAGCTATTAGAAGAACTGTGTCTACTGGCTGTAGGTGGAAATTCTTAGTCTTCGAGCTACTCTGAAGATGGAGATTTTTTTTGAAGTGGCATGATGCCACAAAGGCAATTTTTCATATAATTTTTGGGATCAGCTAAAAAGTTAGCTCCCTCTCTTTTAAATAAGACCACTTCGCCGAAATATCGAAACTGGTAACATACGAAACTATTAATTACTATTTCATCAATCCATTCACACAAACTATTATTAATTTTGATAATTATTCGCTGATTCTTTGTTTATGTGATAGCTATGAATGTACGTATGTATGTATGTGTGTGTGTGTGTAGCTTCAAATCTGTAGCAACAATCATCGATTAGCACTCTAATCAGACAATCTGTCATAATTGATG